AAGGAGAGTTTCAGGTAGTGCCCCACGCCTCGAATGGCGTGTTTGAAGTGGCTTAGGGCTTTGGGGGTTTTCGGCTCCTGGGTTTGGGTCGGTGTAGCCTCGTGGGTCTATGGGGGCTTAGGCCTTCGGGTTAGGGTGCCTTAGGCGGCTTAGGGCTTTGGGGGGGTTTTGGGGTTTGAGCCTGTGCACTTTGGCTCTTGGAGGGCGGCCGGCACTCCAGTTGTGCTTCTGGGAACCCTAGACATCCTGTTGGGGTTCCGTATGAGAAGCCCCCTATAAACTCGGAATCCTAATCCGGAATGGAACCCTCAACCCTAAACCCTAAACCCGAAACCCTAGAACCCTAAACCCTAAACCCTAAACCCTAAACCCCAAACCCCAAACCCTAAACCCCAAACCCTAAACCCTAAACCCTGGAGAACGGACCCATCTCTGGGAGCTGCGGAGCCATCTGGCGCCAACCGCAAGATGCGCCGCGCATTGCCTCACACAGGGTTTAGGGTGTAGGGATAAGGCTTACGGTTTAGGGTTTAGGGCTAGGGTTTAGGGTTTGGGGTTGAGGGCTAGGGTTTGGGGTTTGGGGTTTGGGGTTTGGGGTTTGAGGTTTAGGGTTTAGGGTTTAGGGTTTAGGGTTTAGGGTTTAGGGTTCAGGGTTTAGGGTTTAGGGTTTAGGGTTTAGGGTTTAAGGTTTAGGGTTTAGGGTTTGGGGCTGCTGAGGCTCAAGTCTCCCTACCCCGAATCTTAAATCTCTCGATTATAGAGAGTTTAGGGTTAGGTAGGGCTTAGGGAGCGGACCCTTACTATCAAATCTCCCCCACTGGTAATTTTCTAGCGAGTGCGTGTTTTTGGTGGGTAGGGTTTGGGCGGGGAGTAGTGCTGGGAAGGGCAGGGCGTATCTCATCAAACATCCTGTTTTCTAACTCCTTTTGGCTGCTGGTACTCTGGGCCTACTCTGGGTTTAGGCTTTTTCCTGGCCGGTGACAGGGCAGGGCATAGATGAAGCCATCCGCTGCTGCGGCTGCGCAAGCCCACCTGGAGAAAAAAAGTTGCGAAAGCGTGCGCTGGCCATGTGTCAAAGACAACGCCGAAGGGGCCAGTACTTATGAGACACCATGTGAGGACAGAGGTAAAGGACCACAGCGTTGAAAGGGACAACGATGAGACTAAACTGAGCTGCATGCAGACATTGCTTTCTGTACCTGTACCGACAGATGCCAAAAAGGAGTCTTTGTCGTCCCACTGGGTCCAAATGGGCACCTTTAAGTTATTACATCTCGAAACTTCGCGTCAGAGACCCGCCAAACAACCCTGCGACCGTCATGGGTAAGGGTTAAGAAACCGATCTGCGTCCGAGATGCATGGACGCCCCATGCAGGTCCGATGGAGGCGGTGGGGGAGGAGGAACCTCGCCCCCTTCCGCCATGCTCGCCGATCTTCAGTGACGACGCGATCTTCAAGGCATTCAAGGGGCTATCTGCTTTTGCGTCTCATGTGGGCTTTTGCGAAGTCTTCTAGGGTCTTAATGAGAGGGTCTTGAGGGATGTGTTTGTCCACATACATTCGGTGGGGTCTGCCGACTGGAGGGTTGCTTTAGGGTGTTGGATGTCCAAAACTTTCAATGGGCTCCGTGCTTGTCTGTGAGGGTTTCCGTGGGCTCGGGGTGTGCTAGAGTTTTGTGGAGCATTCAGTTCTGGTCCTTGTTGAGTGGCGGTTGCTTTCATAGATCTCTCAGTCAGACCTCGGCTGTCAGACCATAAGTAAGCACACCTTTACTATTTTCTTAAGAACTCCAACCCAAAAAAATGGTCTCCTTCTTACCTATAGGGAAGAGTCTTTTGACTTTTTGGGGTTTCTTGAGCAAACAGTAGACCATGTTCAAGCACAGACGCCAATCTGGAATCTTCCAGATGCAGGCCCGGGATGGACGAACTGATGCGCTAACAGACTTGGCCAGCTGTCTTCTGCTGTTTCTGCCAAGCACTTCTGCCCGGAACCCTTGCGTATCGGCCGCGGCAATTCTGCCGAAGACTCTCGCAGGTGAAAAGCGGCGAACTCGTCAAACTCGTCTGTGATCAGACTCGAGTGAATATCCCTAAACCCTAAACCCTAAACCCTAAGCCCTAAGCCCTAAACCCTAAACCGAAAGGCAGTTGCAAGATCCTAGCCTTCGGCAAGCCTTGCCACTGCCAACAGATTCAGGCATCTGGACGGATCGCCTTCGATACAAGCTGTGGAACCCCAAGTCGGAACTTTCCATGGGCATAGGGTTTAGGGTTTAGGGTTTAGGGTTTAGGGTTTAGGGTTTAGGGTTTAGGGTTTAGGGTTTAGGGTTTAGGGTTTAGGGTTTAGGGTTTAGGGTTTAGGGTTTAGGGGTAGACCATAAGCCTTTTTGTGGGTTCCCAAGGTCCCAATCACCATCCTGAAGCCTTGGAAGACGGAACATGCTGAACGCCCTTCACACCTGTTGCTTGGAGCTATCTCGTCCTGCTTACACAGCCCTAAACCCTAAACCCTAAACCCTAAACCCTGAACCCTAAACCCTAAACCCTAAACCCTATGAAGCCCTCAGCGATAAACTCGGCGCCATCCACAAACATCTACGGATGTACTGGGAGGGCCCTCGTCCCATGACTGCTGCAGGGAGTGCACAGGCACAAAGATCCGTAAATGACAGCCGTTTTGGGGTGCGAGGAGTTAAGGGAGAACCCTGAAACCGCAAAACCCTGGATCCTAGGCCTAAGCCCTAAACCCTAAACCCTAAACCTTAAACCCTAAACCCTATAAACCCTATAAACCCTAAACCCCGCGTGGGCTGATGCTGCGCCAGATGTGCCATGGTACAGTCGGCCCTCCCTAAGCTAACACTACACGGCCGGGAGCGAGCCTCGCCTAAGGGTTTAGGGTTTATAGGGTATAGGGTATAGGGTTTAGGGTTTAGGGCTAGGGTTTAGGGTTTAGGATTTAGGGCTTAGGGTTGAGGGCTTAGGGTCCTTCGAGACCACATGAGCCCTTAGAGGGTTTCTGGTAGCAGGGATTGTAATCGTATAGGAGGATAAGAGCGCTCCCCTAAGCACTATTAACCCCAGAAACCCTATACCATAAACCCTATGAACCCCAAACCCCATACAGCCTAAATCCTGCAAACCCTATAAACCGTAATCAGCCATATAAACTGAATGTAAGAACCCAAAACTCTACAAATCCAAGACCTTGCACACCAAACACCCTGCACACCTTAGACCCTACAAACCCGATAAACCCAACATCTACTCCCCTAAACCCTATAAACTCCATAACTTGGGATGCTCCCCCTTATACTGACAATGATTGATAGGGATGAGAATACCCCCAAGGACTGTTAGTATACGGGGGACCAGCCCAACCCATAATCGCTGTGAACCCACACTCCCCAGAAACCCCTAAACCCTAAACCCTAAACTTGCTAGGAGCTGGGGCGAGTCCCTGATTCCTGGGCCATGACATCCCGGTCTCACTTGGATGTCGAGAAGAGTTTTCCTGGCAGGGACCATATACAAAGTGTAGGGTTTAGGGTTTAGGGTTTAGGGTTTAGGGCTTATTAGGGCTTAGGGTTTAGGGTTTAGGGTTTACGGCTTATGGAGTTCAGGTCATTTCCCCTATGTTCACTTGTATCCCCCTTAGGGAACATGGACCATAAACTGTTTAGGGTACGTCTCGTCCCCAAGGCTTCACTGGCAAGGGGCCTAAAGCGGACCGAACTCTCCAGATCCGAACTTCAGCTGTCAGGGCCTTCTTGCCTAGCTACCCAAAACAGGGGCGCAAACGACCGATGCCATGAAGATTCTGGGGTCCTTATTGTGGGAGACGAGGAAGTGCCTCGTTGGAACACTAGGTGCCTGAGCTGCAACTGAGGAACCCCGTGAGAACACGACTTCTTGAAGCCCCAGCCCAAAAAAAAACCTGGAGCATCTTGTAGACCTCCTCGACCCCAAAGCCAACACCCTATAAAAACCCTGGTTTAGGGTTTAGGGTTTAGGGTTTAGGGTTTAGGGTTTAGGGTTTAGGGTTTAGGGTATAGGGTTTAGGGTTTAGGGACACAAACCTTAGCCTGAAGCCCCCAAGTCCATACGCTTCCACTTCATCTAGAGAGCACTAGACCCTCCTGGGCCTAGCTCGTCGCGCACACGCATCTCATCTCGAAGGCTAGGCCCAGCGTAGTTCTGGCAAAAGGAGGCGGAGTGCGGAAAGAGCAAACCCGGCCCCAACCCCATCGGCCCTACAGGGCCGGGCATCCTAAACCCGAAACCCGCAACGCCTGCACCATCTTTCGTCTTGAGGGGGCCCCCTGACGGACATGAGCCCTAAAAGCTTCTGGCCCACACAGGAAAAGCCCAAAAAAGGATTAAGTAGTACATGGTATATGGATCCTCATTTCAGGGTTCATTCGGGCCCCCGGGTGCGGGACATAGACGTGGAAGGACACGACGCGAGCCCAGCGGGGGATGCTGAGTAACCCAGGATTAAGAAGGGTACCCGTTTTTTTGCTTAAAGGGGTTTATAAGGGAACCTAACCCCTCCCAAAAAAGGGAACAAGGGCACTACTGGGCATCCTAGAAGATCCCTGAAGAATTGGATCGCAGAATCCGGGTGTGACCAGCTGGTGTTCGAAGCCCCTTTTTTCTCGTCACAGACGAGGCAAAAGTCGCTCATGAACCAGTATGTATGAAGGCAAGCTATAGGAAGCAGAGCTTTCCTCAGTACATAGGCATGGCCGAGGTCGAATACTTGCGACTCGTGTTCTTGTCAACGAAAAGTTATGCCTTCATCATAGCAGCCGCTGTCTTTGTGGAGATAGGCACATCAGGCCACACCTCCCAGGGTGCGGGCAACGGTGATTTTCAACCGATAGCTTCAGAGGGACCACTTCTCAAAGTGCATGGTGCACTGCGTGGTCCCCACGTGCAGACATTGACTTCATGCATGGATCCTTTAAGTGCTCGAATTACAAATTATAGTACGAATTACAGATGCCCGTGCGCAATAGACACGAGGTAAGCACTTGAAGAAGCAACGGCGAGAATCTGGGATATGCAGGGCAAGGATGCCGATGACGACACCGATGTCGTCGTGGCGTCGCTTGCCGATGTCGACGTCGTGGTTGTCGAGAAGCAATCGGACATTGCGGTGCTCCCGCACTGTTCTTCCTGGCAGAGATCGGTAGTTGCAGGGATGAAAGATAGTACATCCCATGATCCGGTGCAGTTGCCGCTGGCATAGCTGTTCATCTGCACGCCATTGCGGGTCGCGTTGCACACCCACATCATGGACATACTGGGTGTAGGGATCGCGCAGATGCCGAGTGCCTGCGGATCGCCACTCTGAGTGCTTGTGCTGCTGCAGTTCTTGTCCGCCCACTGCACAGTGTCAAAGCCATCATGCATCGCCACCCGCCTCGAAACCCATGTCGCCCCGCTCTGGATACAAGCCGTGTCGAGGGTCTCATTCCTCAGCACGGTGCCAGAGCAGTCCGATTCATTGTAGTACCTGTGGATGGCCTCGGAGCCAATGATCTCCACTTTGAGGTACTCCGCATTGCTTGGGTGGCACACACCCACCGGGGTCCCAATATCTGAATAGGTTTTACCTGTGCTGCAGTCGCTGCTGCTGAAGCGTTCCGTAATCAAGAACTGGTACTCTGAGGCGGCCGCGGCCACGGTCAATGCCGCAACCAGCGCGTTGCACCGAGCCATCTCCTCGTTGCCGCAACGCTTGTGGGCCTAAAGGCCGCTAAAGAGGCGACTCTCCTTGGGTCCAACGCGTCTGCGCGGGGCTGGCTGGTTCGAAGCACGCAGAAATCACAACATTTCATACAATAGACTACACTAGACTACACACACATGTATACAAATATACGTACACACACACACATATATATATATATGTATATATATATATATATATACACTTGTTTTTGTGTATACGTCATTCTTGGATTTCTCTCTATTTTGCTTTTTCTCCCTCTCTCCTCCTCTGCTATAAAGGGATTGTACGGGAAACTATTGGTAGGTATTTATCGCCTCCGGCACATAACCCACATTGCGTCGTTTGCCTGCAGACAGACTTGCTGTGGCCTAGACCCTAAACCCTAACCCTAAAACGCAAAGGAATTTAGAGAGCTTTTGGCTTTAGTCTCGGATACGGGACATCAGCCCGCCGGCAGCCCTGGGCTAAAGGACTCTGGGTCATGCTGCCGTCACGCCGTCATCACATCCGAAAAAGCACGCAGCTGCGGATGCCGAGCGCGCACTCCTGACCCTACGCACCCTAACCCTGAACCCTGCACCCTAAAACCCTCAAAACTCACAACCCGAAAGCCCTTAAACCCCTACATTCTAACCCCCCCCGCCCTCCCAAAAACCACCAAGCCCCCTCCAACAAACCTAAACCCTAAACCCTAAACCCCAAACCCCAAACCCTAAACCCTCCTCCCCCAAACCCTACGCCGCACCCCCCTCCCTCCGAGGCCTGTCTCTGTCGGCCGACCGAGGGAAGTGGCTCGAGCCGCGCTGGCTCAGCCCTCAGCTTCTCAAACACGGATGTCGTATGGGGTGTAGGGTTAGGGTTTTAGGGTATAGGGTTTCGGGCGTTACGGTTCTAGGGTTTAGGATAGAATCGAGCATTGCATGAAACGGGGTTTAGGGTTTAGGGTTTATAGGGTAGAGGTAGAGGGATTCGGGTTTGGGGTTTAGGGATCTCCACTAGAGCTTAATATAGAACAAAACGATGAAGTGTATGTGTTTTCCATAAGATGGGACGAGATAAGAGACTACAATGCTGATACTAGAGTTCATACTCTTCATCATAAAGACGAGAATAAGAGCACTATTCGTAGAAATGGTAGGAATTTACTCTGAGACTAGTCTAACAAACAACCGAAACTGTAAGGACCCCCCTAAGGCCGCACCCCAAGCCCTAACCCTGAACCCTAAGCCCTAAACCCTAAACCCGAAACCCTAAACCCTAAGCCCTAGCTCCGGCCTTCTCTGCGGCGGAGCCGCGGGGGAGCGCTCGCTACGGAGCCTCCCCGGAAAGCTGTCGGGGGCTTCGCATGTCTCGTCGTGGTTTAGGCTTTAGGGTTTAGGGTTAAAATCTTACCGAAGGGCCGAAAAAAGGCCTTTTTTCGGGCACCAGAACAGATGAAAAAACCTTACATAACGGGGTCTTGGGCCCTCAGGGTTATAGCTTGCGATTTGGGGATTATGGGGTTATAAGGTCTATAGGCATAAGCTGTCTAGGGTTTAGGGTCAAGGTGTATAGGGCTTTGGGCTCTGGATTCAGGATTGGTGTCTAGAGGGCTTTGTAGCATTTGTGTTGCTATTTGTGAATCACCCTCTAACTATGCCAAGAGAATTTGGGGGGTCAGCTGTTATCCGAATATATTCTCGCGGCAAGAGGCTAACCAGCTAAAGCAATCTGCCTGGCACCCTATGTAGTCGACCCAGGAGGTTGGCAAAGAGTTCTTCGGCGCATCTGTGCCCCCCTCGCTGCCTAAACCTTACACCCTAACAAACAAAACCTTCAAAACACTAAACCAAAAAAACATGACCCAAACCCTCAAAACCCTAAAGCACAACGCCTTAAACCATAAAATCCAAAGCCCCAAACCCGAAAGCCGAATTCTCGAAACATTGGGATCCCTACTGGGAAAAACACACTCTCGGTGCCCTAGGGTTTGAGGGTTGAGGTTTTGGGGTTTGGGGTTTAGGGGTTTGGGGCTTAGGGCTTTGGGACACACCCTAAACCCTAAACTAAACCCTAAACTAAACCCTAAACCCTAAACCCTAAACCCTAAACCCTAAACCCTAAACCCTAAACCCTAAGGGTTTGGTTTAGGGTTCTCGGGTTTTAGGGTTTAGGGTCTGCGGAACCCCAAAATGAGGCCTGGCCACCGCCGGCTTGCTGGCCTGACATTCCAGGGACAGAAAGTCGAATGCACAACGTGAGGGGTTTAGGGTTTAGGGTTTAGGGTTTAGGGTTTAGGGTTTAGGGTTTAGGGTTTAGGGTTTAGGGTTTAGGCAGGATGAGTGGGTTTAAGGAGTCACCATCCAGAAGCCGGGTTCAGCAGGCTAGGGCAACGAGGTGACAAGCAGGACAGGGTAGCGTTTTCCCATGCATTCGCGTTACCCTAAAAACTAAACCCTAAGACCCTAAACCCTAAACCCTAAACCCCAAGACCCTAAACCCTAAACCCACGAGGCACTGCGCAGCTCCCTCAGAATCCACACACATGTCGCAGGAGGGTTGATCAAAAAATGGTGGGACCGCTTGGCGCGAAAAGAAGATAAAGCCCTGTATGAGAACAAATATCCTCAACCCTAATTCCTAAACCCTAAATACCCTAAACCCTACACACCCAAAACCCTAAACCCTAAACCCTAAACCCTAAACCCTAAACCCTGAACCCCAAACCCTAAACCCCAAACCCTAAACCCTAAACCCTGAACCCCAAACCCTAAACCCCAAACCCTAAACCCTAAACCCTAAACCCTAAACGAACCTGCGCGCCTCCCGTGGAGCCGGGGGCTGCGAGGGGGATTGCGAGGGCGGCTGCGGCGGCCTCCGAGCCTGGCATAGTCATCTTTGGGAGGTTTAGGGTTTAGGGTTTAGGGTTGGGGTTTGGGGTTTGGGGTTTAGGGTTTAGGGTTTGGGGTTTGGGGTTTAGGGTTTGGGGTTTAGAGGGATCCTGTGGAGGGTATATGGGGAGTTCTCTCAAACAGGGGCCCCCTTTTTGGGTGCCCTACCAAGTACGACACCTTCTAAGAAGGACCCCCAAAAGAGAACTGTTCAGATCGCAGACCTTAACTGATACTTGCAGGGGCCTAGTAGTAGGGAACTAGAACCCTTAGGAAGTATAGGGCTTAAGGCGTAAGAGCCCGAAACCCTAAACCCTAAACCCTAAACCCTAAACCCTAAACCCTAAACCCTAAGCCACACCTCTTCAGCGTGCGTCGGGCGTGTCAAGAACGTTTGTGGCTTCAGGCCTTGAGGTGCTTTGGGCAGCTACATGGTCCCTTATGGGCCCCTAAACGGGGACCCCATAAATACCCACCCAAGGGCCCCTACCGTACATCAGAACCCTTTAAAAGAAGGTAGGGGACCTTATTGAAGTACCTCTCATGCCTTCCTATACCTCTATCCCTCTGCTTCCACCAACATCTTCCCCCGAACTTCTCTCTCCATGCATCCTATTCACTCAGCAACTTGCCAAAGCCTTCCCCTGTCCCTTAACCCCATAAGCCCTAAACCCTTTAATACTAAACCCTAAACCTAGCTCTGTGAAGGAAAAGCAACCCTCGATTCGGCGTCCTGAGGCGCAGCCGCTGGTGCTTTCGAGCCTGAGCGCTTCAGCAGGAGTTCAGGGATGTTCCTAGATACACGCTTTCTATCATATACAAATTCTGTACAGTATATATTTGCAGAACTTATATATCCATAAACAAAAAAATATGTAGATATATACATATGAAAAAACAAAACATATAAAATAATATAAGCATAATCGTTTCGTGATCCGGGCGCGCCGCCCACCTTCCCCCACCCTTTTTTGTGGTGGCGCGACCGGGTTTAGGTTTGAGGGCTCAGCCAATAGACCCGCAAATCAAAAGCGGCATAACAACTCAGCCCTCAACCCTCAACCCTCAGCTCTCAACCCTCAACCCTCAACCCTCAGCCCTCAACCCCCCGCCCCAAACCTGTAGAGCTTACGACCCAACGCCAAGCAAACCCCACACGAACCCTAACCCTAAACCCTAAACCCTAATCCCTAAACCCTAAACCCTAAACCCTAAACCCTAAACCCCACGCGAATTCCCCCCAGGCCTTTGCCAGCACTTGGCAGCTCCGGCGCCGACTTGGAGATGGGAACCTGCTGACTATCATTCGTAAACGAAACTCTCACACACACATATCTATATAGTATGCCCTAAACCCTAAACCCTGAACCCTAAACCCTAAACCCTACACCCTAGACCTAAACCCTAAAACCCTGAACCCTAAACCCTAAACCCTACACCCTAAACCCTAAACCCTAAACCCTAAACCCTAAACTCACACACGCACACATATCTATATCCATGTGTACACGCAGAAGCTAGTATTTGTACACATATGTAGATATGTATATAGTATGTATATGTATACTGCAGTAAGTGGTGTATACTCGTGTGATCATCCTTACTCTTTATCATTGCTCTTCGTACAGCTCATGCTGCCATAAGTCATTGTTATTGTTCATACCCTGCAAGTGTATCACTATTGCTAGTTTAAATGGTGTCACTGTGTTGTTTGCCAAGTGCTGAACATTTCTTTGTATTGGTGTTAAAAATCGCTGCAATTATTGTTGTTGTTTCTGTTGGTCGATTTTATAGCTGCTAAACCCCTAAACTCCCGGAGACGATACTAGAACAATATACATAATGAAAAACAGATTACGAGTGCATGTACATATGTATGTATGTGTGTATGTATGTATGTATGTATGTATGTATGTATGTATGTACGTATGCATGTATGTGTGAACACACACACACAATATGTGTGTGTATATATATACATACATACATATATGTGTACAGAGAGAGCGAGAGAGAGAGAGAGAGAGAGAGAGAGAGAGAGAGAGAGAGAGAGAGAGAAAGTCTGCGCCAGGGTCCGTGCCGAGGTGACATCAGCGAGCTGCTGCAGAGCTTCGCGC